CTCTCATACCTTTCATTAATGTATAATATTTCATTTATTGGCATCTCCACCATCTTCTTTCCCAGCAAAACAAAGACAAAAATGCAGTCAAACCAGAAATGCATGAACGGACATGGAATATATTTGCGGCAGAACTAGTGAACAGGCGAGTGTCGAATATCATTTTAAAAAACTGAAAATCGAATCAATAATGAATATTCATTCAACAATTTTTTCATCGTCAATCACTCAACATTTTCAGTTTCATTTTGCAATATTTCAATCAAACCAAAAAAAACAAATGAACAAAAATATTATCATTTTTTGCTGAGCCGGATATTGGTTTCATTCGGTTTCGTGGAATTTTCTTGAGAATTTATTGCGTGGATATAACATGGAATTGGAAATGAAAACGTATGATAAGTTCTGCTATTCAGATATGTCATCAAGTTCGTGGTGTGCTATCATGGCATAAACTTTATGAAGTTCATTGTAGGCGAAGATGTGTGCACATTTTATCAGATGTGAGGTACTTGACTAGTTCAAAATACTTTAGCTATTGGCTGCTATCACCGTCAGTTCAGCTCGACTGTCCATCTAGCTGGATTCGTTGGCGGGATGGGTGATAGGAGCATGATGATAACAATGAACAAAAACAACACGAATAATCATCACAATAACATTCATAGTTACAATAGTATAGTAATGAAAATAAATTTGAAAATAATAAAATAAGAACAACACTCCGAATTACTATTCGATTACTCATCCAAAACGTCTGTTTAAATATACTGTTGAAAGTTGATCCGTATGTTCAATATATGTTGTGAATGTGAATATGTGGTTATTTGGAACGTTTTTGATTCGAAGATGAACGTTGTTCATGTCTGAAAGTTATAAGTGAACTATGCCTGCTTGCTCGAATGAATGATTACCTTTCTGCAGAGTAAAGCCGTCTTGAATTATTTTCCTTTGATAAATAATTGCGCGATCGTAGCGAACTGCGACGACGATTTCGTTTCGGTTGGTGGTGAAAAGCTAATTTTGGCACGGCCATATTTTCCGAGTGTGTCGTTGCGCCATTCCCCATCGCCGAATCCAGCGGAATGATCTCGGCTGTTGATGGTTCTTGATGGATACCGGATGATTTTCCTGAATAACGCTCATTTCAATCATCATTCCATAGTTTTCAATATTATCCTATACTGTTGTTTCATACTAATATCATTGATTCATTACAACCGTCCAAATATGTAAATGAACGGATAAATACGCGAATATAAGCGTATAAGTATGTGTATGAAATAAATAAATAGAACATACGCAATAAATGAATTCCAGTATTTTTTATAGCAGCTTTATTGAAGTTATTGCGATCTTTTGAGTGAGAACGACTCTGATGACATTGTTTAGGTTGAGAGGCATCCGATGTTACATACAACGGTTTCAATTTAGCAATTAGTTGTTGAAGTGGATTACTATTGTGATGATTGTTATTATCTTTATTGGTGGCATTATTAGGATCATCATCATTACTGCTATTGTTTGTGACGAGTGTTGTAAGATGATTTTGCACTTTTCCTTGATCATTCTTACTTTCTATGCCCATATTATCCACCAATTTTTCAGCGCTATTGTTCTTCTCTAAACGAGCAAACATTACATAACTTTAAAGGTTTATACAGCGGGACTTTACTGAACCAATGTGAAATCGCCAAAAACAGAATGGGAAAGCAATAGTTTTTTGAATGGCGATCGAAAGGGCCTTTTGAAAATTCGTAGACTGACGTTTCAATAGGTTGGTTTGTTGTTGTTGGCTCTTCCGTCTGTTGTTGTTAGCATAACTATGAACAATTAAACGAATTGAACAGAACTGACTATTCTTAATTGTAATACAATGATTTTTTGGATGTTGCTGTTGGGGTTGTTCACGTTTGCAGTGATAATAATCTTGATATTCATTATTCGTAAACGTTGGAGAATTGAAGCCGTTATTCATTGCCAGTCTTGGAACAAAATTACCGATACATTCATTAGTATTAACGTATGGAGTTTGAGTAGCATGTTGATTTTGCCCAGTCATTTCATTCATCACAGAAGAAGAATATGAGGCATCATTACTTCTCGTTTTTGATGGTGATGTTTTCAATAAATGCCCCTTCGGAAGCAGATTCCTTAATCGTTCATTATTCATTCATCCACTCGATTGTTTAAAGTATTACAGAATTGATTCTTCATTGCCAATTACGAAAATTACGAAGAATCACTTGATCGTTAACATTTGAGCACCTTTTTGCACGATCATTCATTTTTAACGATTACCCTAATCAGTCTTATGATTTGTTCATATTATTCACCCGAATTCAATGACAGCATAATGAATCAATCTATCACATTAATGAAATTTTCAAGTAGCTAATCAATGAATTAACCGTTTTGATGGGTTGAATATCCCCGATTCTCCAAAAATATGATTATGGTCGTTCTGATTTTGATTCCACAGATTCAGATGATTACGTACTTTAGTTGTTACCCTTTGAAAGTCATCAGCTATCTGATTTTCATCACTACTACCATCAGAACAAGGTATTCGTAACGACAGCAATAGCTATAAGGCACATATAGTTTAGTCATATATCGAATCATCAGCAGTTCAAAGAACAAATAAACAAGACTGTCAGCAAGATGCTACTGGATATGCCTAAATCTCTATCACTCAGTAAGGAAAACAACGAATAACCAATCTACCGAGTTAAAGCTATTTTCCATCCCAAAAGTTCCATAATGTTGTTGTTGAGCAGTTCTCTTATTATTATAATTTTTCCCATCAATCTTCTTATTGTTCAGCAATTCACCACCACAGTCGTCACCTGCACCTTGTGATCGTGACGGTAAAATGTCACGTTTTCTCGAGTCTAGCTGAAACGTTTCCATCTAATTTCATGAATACCCTATGCGAATCAATGTTTAAAACAAATTCTAATATTGCATTTTTATTGTACCTAAGTTGTAAGGAATATTTGCGGGCCAATACGTGTATCATCTTAAAAAACAAATGGGCGATGATTGACTACTTGTTTGCTGCTGAATCTTTTAAGAACTAAGCAAGATTTACCGGATGAAAAACTAAGGCAGTTGATGGGTGCTGATTGATGTTGCTGTTACGTGCACAAACAGACGGTCTTAATCGTATCAGTGTATGTCCTTGTGGAGTTACTTGAATTGGCTCTTGTTCAAACGAATAATCTAATGATGATGAAGTTGTTGATGACGGTGATGCTGATGATAGCAGACGTTTTCGTGGTTGTTGAGACGACTTCGTTGTTGTTGATTCTGAAGTTATAAATCTCATTTCATTTATACAACCTTATGCACTGGGTAAGCACCACTTATTTTCATTTATTCTATTCCATTCGTCTGTCTCATTTCAATTCAAGATCAAAAATCGTCACAAACGAATAATGGTTCACCACCATCACTAGGTGAAGAGGTTGAGATAATGGCGGTGTGAGTATTTCGACGATTTTCGCTTTTGTTAGTCGGCGTTGGTGAAGGAATCATCTCGTCCGGATTGAGTAATGATGCTAAGTGATCGAATGGCACAATAATGCGTTTGTTTTCACTGAATTAATAGATCACATTTGCTCAATGCTTCGTGATATCCATAACGTTATAGAAAATATTTTTAAATTACATGCGTCATAATAATAGCACTGCATAAAATAATAATAAAGAGTACCAATGAAAGGGTACTCAAAAACAACCATGTCTACCTATCTCGTTGTGACGTTGGCGACTGTGATCGTAAAACAGTTGGATGGGGCTCATTATCTTCTTGATTCATGTTGATCAGTGCGTGATTGTTTTGATCATTTGAATAATGACAATGGTATTTATTTCTCGGATTGCTGTTACTTCTTAATGAGGATGAAGATAATTTTGGTGATACTTCCGGTAATACTGAATTCAAGCGATGATGAGTGCTATTGAAGACTGAAGAAGGCGCATTATGAAACAATGATGACGGCCTTGCAGCAAGTATCGTTGTGGGCATCGGGACGCATGTTGGGGGCATGAAATGGTTTTGAATAGCATTCGGAGCTGTATTCGAGTTCATATCATTATTCATGTTTCGTCTCGTTTCATTACCTTCTGAAATTTTTCATTTCTTTAGTACAGTTGGAATCACATACCCCTCATTCGAATAGTGATAATGGTATTTATCAAATACTCCTCACTCGAGTATTGCTAAGATTCTTCGTCAGTTGTCGTTTACATGTTTCTTTTTCATCATCAGAATTCCATTCATTCCCCTTCCCATCCTCGAATCTGCTGATTCGTCCTCCTTTGAATCTTCCTTTCCCACATTCACCTTCTCTCATAGCAATTCATCATTGTTTTAGTCTTTTTCTTCTGAATGCTGAAAATTTCCGCCGCAAACCACCGACCGATCCATCAACTTCTCTTACTAAACATACGATTTGTTTTTGCGCTACCCTTTCTCATACATGCAATAATCGAGAGTACATACTCGTTCAATGATGTAATATCACAGAATACTGCTGATGAAAACAACAACAATGATAATAATTGCAGTCAAATTATTGTGGGCATGAAAAGAATACGTACGAATACTTATTAATGATGGAATGATGAAAGGTGGTGAATGTTGAAAATTGAGCGAAATAGATGGACGTGACGGTAGACGAACTGGCGATAACGTTAAGTGTAGCTGTTCACCGCTGTGCTGATCGACCTAAAAGGCAGTTTCATAGTCCTATTTATCTATGCATATTATTTCGAATATTTCCATCGACCGAGGATCTTGAGCTATTATAGTGCCGCATAGAACATATTCTTCTATCCCCACCCTTCCTTCTCCACAAGCGACATTCCCATTTGACGACGTCGTCCCCACATCTCCTGACAAGTCACTCAGTCGACCTTTATTTACCTTCATTTTGATACCTATATCTATACATATGTACGAATATTTGAATATCCCATGAAATGTATTACATCTAGACATAAGGTGGAAAGAGTACCGTAAAATCAACTTCTCGATAAACGTCTACGTAGGCACACAGTCGTTGCCGTAACGAATCAGCCATGTTAAGTGCCACTTCGGCGGAAACCTTGAAAATGTTACCGGCATATTCAAGTCGAATAAACAAAGTTAAATGAGAATGAACGGTGAACATTTCTTTTTGAGGCAAAATAATTTCGAAAGAATGAAAATCATTAAAAAATTGCATTCGGTAACAATCAAAATGTCTCTGGGTAACGTGGAAAACAAAAAATGATTTGAAAGATTCTAGTAGGGTAACTCTGAACCTGGCTGAAGCGTTCAAGAGTTGCCTCAAACAACTTACGTAACTGATAACAATTCAAGTTCATACGTTAGAAATTATGAGAACGGAATGGAAGGGCACGTCATGCAATGAAACATCAAAAACTGAAGATGGAAAAATAAAGAATAAAAGTTCAAAATAAGAAACCATGAGATGTTCGATTTGTATTAACATAATGTATGTGAATTCAGCAAATGAACTGGTCTGTCTAAAAAATGAGATTCGTCGGAAATGATACGGTTTCGGTAATAAAGCATGTATAAGACGTGCACCAGTCCACGTTTTCCAATTTCGAGCGAACTGCATTGTGGGCATATCTTCCATTGTTTTATAGGCCAAAAAGAAGTATCCTTTAAATAAAAAGTTAAACGAACTATGCTATTCCAAATATTCTTCGGTTATATATTACATCACCTACAACACATATAAACCAAGTCAGTTCCTGTACGTCCGGCTAGGACTCAATAACCCCAATGATAATAATTAACATGCCACTGAATTTCAAGTAAAACATTTCTGTAATTGAAATCAAATGGTATGTATTCCTCGTATACGTCAATATTATTGCAGAAAGCTCGGTTATAAGAGATATGGATTTACATATACATATATGCTTAGTTAAGTATGCATTGAAGACATAAAATTAGCGATGAAGTGAAGTTGAAGAAAAACAATGTATTCATTCATAAAGACATACCACGGAATTTGCGTCGAATAATATCCTCAGAGCCATGCGTTTCAAACTGCTTGTAAAATTCATCTGAAAATGGAATGAAACGAATGAGATCGAGTTGCTGAAAGTCGTCATCGTGCAGCAATAGGTTATATTATATTCGTGATGTTATCTTCATAACATCAAGAATATAATATAACCTATTTATTCATTTATTTATTTAATCAGCATTTAAAAAACTCATTGCGAGTTTATGCCTCTCTGTTATCACCAATATCACAAATATCATATTCGTCCTTCTTTGGCATCCTTCTTTACGCGCAGCTAACAACAGTAGCGTTGGGAATCATCTGTCTTCATGAAATCCTAACTTTGATTATTGATTTATTTGGCGATCACAGAGGTTTTAGGCTACTCTTCCTTATTGCCCAATGATTTCTAGGGAGAGCGACTCAAAAGGATCCCGAAAGTATATTCTGCTTGATCGATTAAACATGCGTCCAACGATCGCTCATAGTAGCTGTTTGAAATAACCAACAGTAGCAAACCAGTAATGTTTCAGGATCAAAAATAAACAATTAATGTAACCGAATACATTCATTTCAATAGGCAGACCGAATGACCACTCCGAATCGGAGCGGTTTGCCGATCGCTCTATGCCAGTGGTTCTCACGTTCGGGTATTCCATACTATATGCTACAGAATAAAAAATCAATTCCAACTCTAAAGTGAAATGAGACGACTCAAAAAGAGCCCAAAAATACATTCCGCTTGATCGATTAAACATACCTCCAAATAGTGCTGACAACCGAAATCAACAATACAGCAATCGAATACTATTGCCCAGCAACGTTCGACAGTCAAATGATCAATTTGATAGAATGAGAATTTGACTTTGATTGTGGAGTGAAATGAATGAGAAATTAGCAAAAGAGAACACTTTTGGTGATAAAAGTTATGCGAGCGATTGCAACAGCAAAAAAAGAATAAAAACTCTGTTAAAATAGTAAAAAATGAAACCTGTTAGGCCCAGACGATCTAATGATACCCAGAAAATAGAAGATGGAGAGTGTTGCCATCAGCTAACTTCATTTACATATCCGAGTTAAAAAACACCATCACAATGGCGTTCTATCATAACATAAAACCGCACGAAATACTAATTTCCTGACCCCCTCTATTACCCCTTTACACCTCCAAATTACCCAAAATGGGTAATTTCACCCATTATGAGAACCACTACCCTATGCGATCGGCAAAATGTTCGTCATTGTTTAATGGATTGGTAAACAGCTGTATTTAATTATGCAAATTATTTACGGCAACGGACATTGGTTATTGCTTGGTTGTGGAATGCTTGATACGCCGATGGCTATGGTTCTGCTCGGTTACATTGATTGTTTATTACTGATTCCAAAAGATTACTGATTCACTACTGTTGGTTGTTCCAAACAATTCTTCTGAGCGATCGTTGGGCGAATGTTCAATCGATCAAATGGAATGTATCTTGGGTTCTTTTTGAGTCCCTCTCCAAAGAAATCACTGGGCAATATGGGAATGTAGCCTAACAACCTCTGTGCTCGCCAAATCAATGACTGATATTAGAATTCGTTAACACAAGTAAACTCAGGACAACATTAAATCAACAAACTAGTAAGCAAACAAATGAATGAATAAAATAAGAAAATAATTGAGTAAAATTGAAGCAATCATACTGAATTTTTCATTTAAATGGCTCTCATGCGAACTATCTTTATATTAAGTTTGAGATCGACCCTCACCATAAGCAGTATTATTATCGTCATCATTTTCACTGATATCATCGCAATTAGCTCCACTGCTTTCACTTATCTTCGACACTTCTCCAAATTTGGTTGATCTTGTTAAAACTTCAGAATCCGACTTCACAATTCGACTACTCAATTGTAGACGCTCATAAAGACCTTGAATTATTTTTTTTTTGAACAAATGAATCATCCAACAATAAATGAATGAATGAATAAAAAAGAGAATGATTGGATACGATATACCTGTCTGATAACTTAGATTAGCACCAATGTCATACTGTGGACGATAGCAGTTGTCTCCGCTGTCCAACTTACAATTACTATTGAGAAAACACAAGTCTAATACAGGATGGCGAACTGAAATTGTTAATAATGTGGTAGCAGTAATACCAACAATGAAAGATAACAAAAATAAGTGAAAGTTGTAAAAAGAACGATACTAAATAAATAATTCACCAGCAGTTTGAATACATTTCAAACGTTTTATGCAGAGACTATTAATGACTGGTAAATGCTGAGCTATATGAGGTGCACACAATGACGGTATTTGATCGAAACAACAAGAGTTTGTTGACGATGATAACGAATGACACTGATCTTTCACCATTGATATTAACATATAATGGTATACGCCATCCTTTAAATCATTACCACATATGAACATTCACATTTCCGGTGAATTCTTCATTCAGTGCTTATATTGTGCTTGTATTATTATTATTATTATTATTATTATTATTATTATCACTGTTATTATTATCACTGTTATTATTATCACTGTTATTATTATTACTACTATTATAACTGTTACAATTACAAATAAATGAGGATGGTAAAACTCATTGGTAAAATTGTTGGGGCAAAAATGAATACGTAAGGCAAAGAATGAAGGTCGTTATAACAATCAAAGCAACAACTATAGGTTAAATAATAGGCAAAAGCATTTACCTCACTATCCTCGACTATAGGCATTATTGCTAATAATGAGCAGTAACAACAGGAGCAATAAAACAGCTGAACGAATGGAAAAACAATAGAATCAAGAATGAATTATATATTGAACTACATCGATGAAATTCAGGCCACTGATTCATATCAAATCATTCAGTCATTATATTTCACTATTCCACTGATCGCTTTCTTGTTTAAATGCTTAAAATTCAGACAAATTCTAGTGACGATCTTCTGTTACATATATATTTTGATGCTGAGATTTCACAATAAAATATGTACAGTTGGAAATCTCTTAAAGACGGTTAATCGTTTTTGTTATCTTCAGATAAATCGTTCAAAAACTGATCAAAATCAGTCGGCGAAACTTTTCGAATAGATAATTACTGCTTTCTAGGGAGCGGTGAATTGAGTACGCTAGCGGCTAAATCGTTTTGATGGACGGATGGTCGAATGGTTGGCTGCCTGAAAATTGAACAGAATCGTAGGATGTGGTCGAGCAAATGAGCAAGCGATGAATAACAAAGGAAAAACATAAAGAAGAAACAAAGCCTTAATAATGAATAAATAATTTTTTTAAAATTCCGAACTGCTTTCTCCTACTGTTTTACTAAACTACTAGCATCATTATTATCATTATCATCACAATATGATTGATTGTGATGCTCACTGGCAAACGACTATGAATCCATAATGGAAGAATTTAGAATTGAATTTTGAAATAAGTATAATGCAATCATCCTATTATATGGTGTGCATTCTATTATACACACCACATTGTATGATATTATGTTGTTTCTAAATTATATTATCGAACATTTTATTATATTATAGTCATCCTTATTTTCTTTTTCTTATTTTATTTTTCAACTTATCCAACACCCTTAAATAGTCTATTCCATGCCTAAACCGTTAGTTCAATAAGACCTTCTCTTCCAAAAAGTTATTGCAATCAGAATTTCAGTTTTAAACGAACGTCTAGTTTCTTTTCGCTTGTCAGTTGTGCTTTAGCCAATCAGCGATCCACGAAAATGATTGCATATTTGTTGATGGTTATTATTATTACCATTATTATTTATTATTATTGCTATTATTATGGTTATTATTACGAAAGTTTCAGCAATGAACAAATTCAATTTGACAGCCACGAAACTGAAAATCTGATTGGACTAATCGATTTATTCAGTATTTACTTAAGTAAAAGACTTTCTTCCTCCTCCCATTTCATGAGCGAAGGAGTGAACCAATTACGAATAACTATCTTATGAATTAACAACAACAACAAAACCAATAAAAGCATCAATATGAAGAGTAGCGGCGCGAGCAACAGTTCAACAGCCTCCGAACTCAATGAGCTCATCGATCATTCCGAATTCGTTGATAATTCATCCATTCAGCTGGATGCATGCACTGATCGACGATTGGACCTTTATGAACGGTCACTAGGAGTGAAACTGCAGAAGTCACCTCTTTTCCCTTTCCCGTTCCAAACTCTTACTTCTAGCGAGATTTGGGCTTCGATCCAACATATCGCACGCGATCTTGTCATAATTTTGAGGATCAAAGACAAACACATTATTATTCCAGGTAAATTTTTAATAAGTGCACACTTTTAATGAAATTTTGTTGCACCCCTCCATGTGTCTCTCCTTCTTCAGAAGTAATCATCATAAATTATCCAGCTGTTTTGCAATTACAATGCTGTCACCATTAAGCCGGTCAGTAGTCACTGACGGATGAATACTGACTTGACTGTTCACTTATCTCAAATTCAACTTTAATCATTTTCATACCTCATCATCAAAATCACATCATATTACGACAATGAATCGAGCAATCACTTGAACAAGTAATATCACAACAAAAACAATATCATCATATCGCATTATATCATAAATTTTTCATATCACTTCATACACCAACACATAAAGACTACACACACTCGAACTGAGAGTACTTCATGGCTCAGATGCTTCTCTTCTTCTTCTCCCAAATTTATCAGCATCACTCCTCCCATTAAGCATCTCGAGCTGAAACGACTTGTTCGCTGATTTCAGCCATCGTATTGAACGTTTGTGTTAACCATTGACGAATAACAGATTTCTTTTTCTTATTAGTATTAACTCGTTCAGCTTGATTACGGTATGATTGTCGTCGATATTGTGGCTGTGCTGAAGATTGTTGTTGAGGAGAAGGAGACCGATAACTTCGTCGTGTTGCAGTGGTTGCACATTCTGGTGAATTTGCATCATTTGATAGCAATGAATTACTAGTCACACAACTATCGAACTGCTCTCTCGACAGAGTTCCTTGTTGTGGTTGCTGCTGCAATTGCTGAAAACTGAGCTGTCCATTCGAAGATTCTAGGGACGGGGAAGGAGAGGATGGCACCACATAACGATTACCGCCATGCAACTCTTCTGAGCAACGACGATTCCGTTGTTGAGTCGGAACCGATGGATAATAATTATAATCATTATCAGCTGCTGACTGAAAGATCATCATTATCCTTTTTTTCTTTCTCTTCTTATTGTTATTTTCGCTTCTCTTCATAATTACTCTGATTCTTACGATCTTCTGAGGCGTCAGGGTTTTTAAGAAATGCTATCGGATAGACACATCCTAATTCTTAACCTCCAAATTGGTCTAGAAGAGCTCTGGATAGGATAACTTGCCTGATGAACTGAATAAATATCTAAAAAGATGCTAATGAATACAAGCAATTGAGTGTACTGAAATGGAATGGAATACACTGAGAACGACGATGCCACTACCTGTTTGTTGTTTGATGAAAAAAACGGTGGTATTTTATGTTGACAGAAATTGAAACTGAAGAAATTAAAGTTAGTCAGTTGATTGAAAACACACGTGTTGAATGACGTATAAATAAATATTAGAATTACACACAGAAAAATACACACATATATCATATGCATATCAAATTTAAATTCTTAGTTGTTAAATGATAAGTGTTAAATAGGACATTCGAATAGAAAGAGAAGAATGCGGAAAGATTTTGATTAAAAGTTTAATAATCAAAATAAAGGAGAACAAAAATTATGTCTTAAAAATATTATGATAAATAAATTCACAGAAAAGTAGCTCAAGCACATATTATAAAGCAAGATAACAGCCGATGAACATATGGCCAACTGTTAACTAGCATTCCTTTCGGAAGAATAGATTCTAGCTGAATAAAGTTGAAGAGATAGAAAAAAAATTCAACAATAACAGTAATGACAGTAATAATGATTATAATAAAAGGAAAATAATAATGATAATATTAATATCAAGAACAACAACAATATTTACCAAATCCAACACAAAATAATAAGGTTCGTATTGACAATAACGATGACAGTAACAGCAATAAGAATGGTACCGATAACAAATAAAAGAAATTGTAGAAAAGCCAATGATTAAAGGAGACGTCCATATGGAAGAATACAAGCTTGAAAAAAAAAAGGGCATAAAGCTTTTGAAATGCATACACATAAGCCTAATGACACTCTACTAGAATATTTAACTATCATGCACATAACATATTTATAGGTAAATAACCGTCGTAATAATAATAATAATAATAATAATAATAATTTTAAAGCAAATAAAGATGGCCCTAGAACAGTAAAATTAGTAAATTATGGACATTAAAATTATGAGAGATATATAAGATGATTTGAAAAGTTTCCTCACTTCAAAATTCAGTGACCACACACAAACTCTCAAATATATAATACACGTGCCCCAAATATATCAGTTAATAAAATAGGTTGAGAAGAAAGGGAAAAAATTAATATGAATAGTTGATTTAGAAAGAGATAGAATATGAACGAATTGAAGTGGCAAGAAGAAAGGAGAAGAACGATTAAGATAAAACACGTAATCGCCTCATAACTGATCAATCTTCTGGTACCTTTTGAGATTTCAGTAACTTCTCTTTTAAAACACATTTTCGAATATCTTTTGCTGACCACCTATCTTTACATCTGAAATAAGCAATATGGTTGGAAGAACTCGTTCAAATGATCAACTGGTCGATAAATTGGTTTACTTATTCATTTATTGATTAGGTAGTTCATTTAGAATATTCCGAGATACAAAAAGGTGAACTGAAAACTTATATGTGGATGGAAAACAGATGTGTGAAAAGTGAATAGATCAACGATGAATACAGCAGAGAATTTTTTCGTAATATAAGTACTTTGGTGATAACTGGATAATTGAAAATAGTCAATAAGTGTCATAATTTGATGAGGAGGATGAGGAGGAAGATAACAAGAAATGTTGGGTGATTTTGAATAGACGAACTGAAATCAATTCGAAGGAATTGCTGCAGTTGCATCAAACAAACCTTGGCGTGAGGGTCTTCTTGAGTATTTTTAAGGACTTCTCGCTGAATGGCTCGAAACGTTTCGGTAATAAAGGATTCTTACGCTTCAACCATTGTTCCCATTCCCAGTACGGCTTACACATGATTGTTGCTTTTTGCCACGGAAAACGTCCTTTCAGACAGTAGTAAAATATTATTCCTTAAAGTCGGCTCAATTAGTCGAACAGTGGCCATAAAAATGAGCAAACGAATAAACAAGCATATCAATGAACAGCTAAACAAACTAATTTACTAACCAAGTGCCCAAATATCGATTGATCGACTAACAATTAAAACTTCATTAACAACCGTTTCGCATAACTCAGGTGCATGATAATTATTCACGTATTCCAAATATCTCACTGTTGAATCCACTTTTCTCGTTAATCCAAAGTCTGTTAATTTCACCTGAACAACAACAACATCAAATGCATCTCTGTTATCATTCCGACTACCATTCTCAATGTTATCCTTATTTTTACCATCACACTAACAACCAGTTCGATGGTCTATGAATGAACAAACATAAAAACCTCAAGACATAATCCGACTCTTGAATGTAATGAATAAAAATTACCTTGGAAAAATCTTTTGAATCAAAAATCAGTACGTTCTCAGCTTTTAAATTTCGATGTACCAAATTCTCACTATGCATAAATTCAATTGCGGCCAGAAGTTGACTCATCACCGACCTTGTTGCACTCTCACCAATTCCTGAAAACGAGTACATACCACAGCGTCAACAACAACAACAGCTACAGTAAAAATGATGACAATAATAATAATCCACTAGTTATCGTAATACCAACCATTTGCAGAGGACTCAACAGCTTCTCGAAGTGAAGCATATGGACAAATTTCTTGAACAAAAAAGAAGGCTGTATCATCATCAGTTTGGAACATCCCTTCGTATGAGTCGATTATGTTGGGATGCGGTGATAAAAAGAATGAATAGTTGTATTCACGAATGAAATCAACCTTAAAATTAGCAAGAATAACAACAATACACCAGCCATTGTAAAGAACTGATTCAATTATAACGCGATTATATTCAGCATATACCTAACTATAATTATAAATTAATTTTATCCCATTATTGACCACTGGGCGCCTTTGGTCTCAGTAGAGAAGGCATACTGACAGAAACGTGGTGCGGAGATAGAAAAAAGTCGGGGACGAGATTTTGCAGTCGGAGACCTCAAAAAAGTGGTCGGCTCAAAAATTGTCGGGGACTGGGTCCTCGAAATTCCCCGACCATTAGTATTGCAAAGGCAGAAAATAAGTGAGGGACGGGGATTTGGGAATAGGAATCCCGAAGTTTTCCGATCCCCGCACCAAACTAATTGACAGCGCTTCTGGCTGAAAGAATTGCACAGGTATTATGATGCTCAATAAAACTTCATCAGTTATACTTTTATATGTGATTACTTTGTTCAGCCACTGTTCGAAGAAGAAGAAGCAGAATGGACATACATGGGTTAATGTTATGATAATGACAATAAAAATCAATGTACTCAGATCATTAGTAAGCAACGCGCAGATACCTGTTTAGTTTGTGGTCTTGGGAAGAATTTAATCGCAATTTTACATTGTGATTCCTTATGCTGTGCCAATTTTATTGAACTGAAACGACCCGTACCCAACTGAAAATTACATTCTCGTTTACGACTAATGCATAGCAAAATTGCTTCAAAAACAATTCAAACTCCAGAGTTCTTTTCATACCAGAGTATCGTATATTTTTAAAGAGTATACGATGAATATTTTAAAACTACTATTCCATAATAATCATAATCATCAGAAACAATAAACAAAATCCTAGACGCTATTCTGCTATCGGAGGCTTGATTAGTTTGGTCCGTTGAAGTAACTCACCCAAAAGCATGAAATCAGTGCAGCATTCTTCTTATCAACTGGTGATTCTGAACTAATGAAGGAATATTTTAAAGCGTTATAACATGCATTAATATATCTTATGTTATCTTCTGTACTGCATGTCATGTTTTCAAAATTATTACCTTGTTTTCCTAGAAGTGCAACAGCGGAAAGTTTGATTCGAAGCCGTACCCAAGTAGGTATTCTATTAGACATAAAGTTAAACAAACTGAAATATTCAGAAGCCACACACAAACGTTTTGACGGATGAAAGAGTACTCCAAGTCCAGTAAAGCCTAACCAACAACTATGCATACAGCCTATCGTGGATTGCCTCGAGGTTGCTCCCCACTTCTAGAAAAAAACTGAATGCGAAACTATATTATTATTACATGCACGTTTCGGACCTGCTTGTACACATCGTATTCATCTGCCAAATTGACACGTTTTATCGGCTCCATTGAAACTGAACCACGCTTTACAAACACCGAGCTTCGTCGTTTCGTCTAGAATTTTCTAAAGTTGCGATGGTAATGATGATGAAGATTAATAATAATTAATGATAATAACAATAATAATAACAATAATCATAGTAATTATGATAATAATAATAATAATAATAATAATAATAATAATGACATCAATAATATTATTATTATTACTATTATTATTAAAAGCAAAAATAATCATTATCATTATCATTCCTATTGCATCCACGACTATCAATGTTTTGATTATTATTGTTATCATTACTACCATTACAATTATTATTACTTCTGGGAAGTCAAAAATCTTGAATTTATATTACTGATGATAAGCTCACGATGAGCTATAATGCTGCTCATCAAAACAAAATCATGATTCTCGTCATTATCATTAGTATTATTATTGTTACGATTATAATTGAGATTATTATCATTACATTGAACCATTAATTCTGTAGCTTAAAAGTCCATCATCACTACTTTCAAAAGAATTATCATCATTTCATGAATTTATATGAAGATATTCTCAAAAAAAAAAAAGAGCATACCCTTCAAATGAGAAGCCAAATCGTTAGAATAATGGGTAATATAAATAAAATCACAGTAGAACATAGGTATTATATCAGCATGTCAGATCATAAAGCCAATAAATTACTTCAACAATTTGACTGTGAACACTAAACAATGGGCCACTTCAATAAATATTATCGAAATTTTTGAGTGGATAGAGAGATGAATGGATTGTGAATACAATCGAAACTCTGATAAGATATGTACCTACATACCTACACATACAATCTGTACCAATATAATAATAATAATCATCATCATCACCACAAATATATTCAAACAATCACAGATACTCAAAGCTTAAGTAAATCTCTCTCAAAATGACACCTCAAACAACAACGAATCAGTTTCACTGACAAATTACAAGTATCATAACGTTTACCCAACGACCTGTTATTACCTAACGATATGTATGATACAGTAATTGTACAACAATCGAATCAATCAATCAACCAATCCATCAAACAATCAATACTACTAATAATGACACTGAAAATGATAAATCTATGTATAATCTTTATCTGTGTAACATTCGAGAGATGAAACTTTAAAGTATGAAAGAACGCACTGAATTTTAAAATTTTTTGCATGATGTTATGGGCTAATAATACACATAAACGATCTAAGAGTTTATTTTAGCTTTTTGTGCTACTTACAATATGAATTTTTCATTCTTGTTTGTTTTAAACTAAGAATAAACGCACAACGAAATGAAAACAAAATCCAACATTTTCTCTGTTCACTTGAAACAAATGGAGAAGTTTAAGAGACGAACGATGATTTGCTCATCACCTGATTTAACGTTTCGACCCACCTCGCCTAATGGACTTAACTCGACAAAAACCAAATTCATAATTTCATGCGCTTTTGCACTAACTTTTAAGGTATATGTGAAGAAAATGATGCTAAAAACGAATAAAGTGCTCATATACAGTGGATTTTATTACAGAGATAACATATCTAAGTTGTCCGTTTCAAATTACTTTTATACGAAGAAATTAATAGATGAATGAATAAACTAATGATGAATACGTTAATTCTTCAGATACCTCACAGTCACACTAAAACGAGTGACAGTCACTGGGTAGAAAATAAAGGGCTGGCCTGTTCTTTGAAATCACTGCTGCTGAAGGCACCAGATGAAGGTGCGATTGCACTGCTAGCCGCATTTTCAGTCGGTGCACAAATATGCACATCTTTTTGAGGGGTAATAGATTTGCGATGTTGAGGAGATTGCGAATGCTGATCCTGAAAATTTATCAGCATTTCATTTGAGCACTTTACTAGCATATCCTGTTGCCTTTTTCTTTATCTGCATATCAAATACTTGTGAAATGATATAACGTTTTGAACAAAAAAGAAATTCGAAGGTGAAATCAATCGATTAATATCAATATCAGTTGTTAGTTGGTCGATTGTTTCCAATTGTAGAAAACATTCACGAATGCTCAAAAAGTTTTTCAAATATTTCATGAAAAAATCAGTTCGTCTCTCATCCTTTTCGTTTTGTTCTACTTTTCTCTCTGTCGAATCCATCGTGACGCAATTGAGAAGAGACAATAATTCACGTTTTCTATTGTTCAATTCAGCACAAAATTTGAGTTGAATTCATTCCATATTACGAGAGTTGTTGTGCTCTATCACATCACTACTTAAGCTATTTTTGCTCATTAAGTTATTCGAACATTCCGGTCTTCCATTCATCATTTTTAAGTTTTCGAATGAACGGATCTCCATCCTTTCTAACTTATTCGAACCTGAAGTCTCATATTCAAATCATTTTCTATCTTCCATCAGGTTTGTTGGTCTGGTAAAAAAAACGTAAGAATGATAAAGTTTTAAGTTTATTTATGAAACTGCGTATGCTCATCATCGCCGTCATCATCATCAACATGTTCTTCATTAGATCATATCAACCAACGATAACAAAAACAAAATTTTCTTTTTCAAATGCAATTCGTTTGAATTAAGTCAAATAACAACTGTTCCTCTTTACTTCTTCTTCAACAACATAGTCATAGTCGACTTCCAAGTTTATTTCGTTCTTTGACGTCATTGATTTGAATGATGCCGTTCATGATTCAAATAGATTGGATGGATGGATGGATGGATGAACATTACAAATGTTATTATATTATAATAGATATTCAGTTTGAAATGCTATCACTTTTCATTTCTTTTTATCTCATTCCATCACATCCATTTGTCATTTCAGTCACTCTTTCTACACTAATTTCAAGCAATTTAAACTATAACAGTTACGACGAACGATTACAAGCCAATTATAACAAGATTCCAATGTCGGTTTGTTTCGACAGCCTCGGGTTGGGCTAGAAAAACGATTTGAACGTGGGAACAGCTTAAATAAGCCGACAAAGAAAACAACAAAATCATTCATACATCCATCACGTATGCATTGAGCCGTTAAAAAAATGAAGGCCAGGATAGGAATAAAATAAACGAAAATAGTTATGCGATGGATTAGGAGAACTGTAGGAATTCACTCTATTTATATTAAAAGAACAAATCAGTTCGATACATAGTTGTGGCTAAACCCATATTAAATAGAGCTGAAACAAAGGTGATGATAAAAATGTTCATAAATTCAAACACAACTCTTACCTCAACTACACCAAGACGACTACTAGCGCTTGTCGATGCTGCTGCAGCTGCTCCAAGAGATATGCTATCCTCAAAACCTCCGGATCCATGTCCAACTGCAGTTGCAGATGTTGCTGACGCCACCAATGTAGGCGATGATTGTTCATGCGTTTTGAGAACTGGACGAGGAGATGTTTTTTTGGGTGGTAGAGGACTGCGACTAGCAGATTTACGTGTGGGTGAAGGTGGTGAATTTGAAGTTGAAACTGCTGTTGTTTTAGCTGAAGTCGGTGTTGCCGACGAGGAAGGGTTGCTATTGAGCAAATCCAAGTTCGAAGGGTTCGTTGCATTATCGATTATAGCAATTGTCGTCGAAGGATTTGGAAAAGAAACTGTGGACGCTCCAGGAACCGCTAAGGTAGGAGTGAGACCAGTAATTGTAGATGTAGCGTTTGAAGTTGTTGCTTGATTTTGATAGAGATTTGAAGGAGTTACGAGATGGGGAGGACCATTAGTCGGAAGAATATTTTGATGATGGTGACGAGGAGTTGATTTTATGAGTGTTTTGGTTCCATCTGGAGGAATATCAACAGTATTGACGCTTGTGGTAATTACACTGGGAGCGTACATAACAGGATTAGAAGAATCGTCAGCAGTGACCGATCTGGTCATATGAAATTCAGGTGGTGCATTAAATGAGAATGACTGAGGAGGTGAAGATGATGGACGAACCACTTCATACATACAACGGGGTGATGATGAATGGTGTCGTGTTGCTGTGCTCGTCTTTTTAGAAGGGAGTGGTGAAGGGGTATTTGATGATAGCGTCGAATTATCGAAATGATCCACCAATAGTTGTGGTTGTGGGATTGTAATAGAATGCTTCTTTGACGGAGCCTGAGTGTGATGATAGGCGTAGCTTCCTGTTGCCGCTGGTGGTGCTGAGGATAAAAAAGCTGAGGCTGAACCAGATCTAGGATGATGATAAATAATAGTGCCGGGAGAAGTGTTATCAGCTGGATGATTACGATGTTCGGTTGTGGTAGGATGTTGATGACTAGTGGAAGATGGAGTATTCTTAGTATTGGACGATGAACTTGTAACAGAAACTGTCGATGGTCGATGTTGTTGATGTCTGCGATAAGGCTGGGACTGAGTTTGAGCGTGTGCTTGATGATGTGATGTTGCTGAGGAAGTGGACTTTAGAGAACTTGACCCTTGATGACCACTACCTGCCAGAACACCACTTGCAGCAGTCTGATTCGCCGCTGCTGCGCTTTTCGCGAATAGCTCAAACACTTCATTTTTCGTATCTGGCGGTTCACTCACATCAAAATCACCCTCTTTACCACTGCCAAGCGCACTTCCACTACCAAATTGCGAAAAACGCCGATTGCTACTAATACGAGTCCAAACACGACCAAGCATATCCATTGTGATTATTACTTTCCTCTAAAATTTACAATCTAACATATATAT